TACTCGTCACATCGTATGCCCCTTGATACCAAACAACTTTCGTTTGAAACATTTGTTCATACAACAAGTAGTTTCTAAATAAATTTATGTCATACAGTAAAGTGACTCACCCTGTACAGTACCGCTCCAGAATGATAAGCAGCCACGCAGACAGAGATATCGTTTCGGCAAAAATACAAACGTTCGCGTTTAATATTGTATTCCTTGGACGTTTATGCAGTTTCCAAACTGTCCCATTCATTTCCCGCAATTTTCGTCCGCTACTCTCGCGGAACTTTTTATCTCCGCCGGGGTCGCGTCTTTCACCGCTTCCATTCCGTCCGGAGCCAACTTCTTCGTTGTTTTTATTTTCATGCCGTCCCGCGGGACCATATTTTCGGTCGAATCTGACCCCGTTCACCTATCCGCTCCTCTCTCTATTTCCCGTCCGCGTGCGTCGCTTGTCTCCCCCTCCTCGATCCGTTTCCTGCGACCGAGTTCGAGCCACGACACTTTGGCCGCCTCCTGTCTCCTCCTTCTCCTTGAATTCGTGTCCTTCGGTCCCCGCGAACAACACGTTCCCAGGTCTGGCAATACACCCCGACTCACGTACCGCCCGCGGACAGGACACGAACAGAGTCTATTAACTGAATATTACCGGAGAAGTCGAACTTTCTGGTCATTTCCGGCACACGAGGCCTCGAGACCGTACGGAGAACTTCCATTGGGGGGGTTGGCTTGTCGAACGACGGGGTCCTGCTTGGAATTCGCGAGGCTTCTAGAAATTATTGTGTCGCAGGTTTGAGTCCTTTGGTTTCGAAAAATAACAACTGCTTGATTGTTTGATGAATGTTAAATAAGAATAATATGCAATTGAAGTGACCTTTTTTTGTGGGGGTGAGAGTATAACGCAGGGATTGGTTTATCTGAGGTACTTAACGAAGATCGGTGTTCAGAATCGCCGAGTGGACAATACTGGTTACGTGACCACGTTTATCGATTAATGAACAACAGGCAGGAGCCATATTCGTAAATAAAACGATGTCCTGGGCAAATGAACAGGATATCTGGTTCGCGTACTGGGTGGGCGACTGCAGCGTCGCTCAGAATAATACGCGTATTTCCGAAATACAATTCAGAGAAAGGTCGATTGTTACGGCCGATGAATAATGCGTTTAACAACACGGGATTATTCGATGACGAAGTACCGAGACTCGCGGTGAATGGAACGTGGCAGACATGTCGGGGTTAACGTTTTCGCTATGTTGATTAAAAAGCTAGAATAGAACGCCAGAGGGATAATGCCTTCCATTTCCCATCGATCGATCAAGTTTTCATTAAAACGGCTCGTCGATCGGTCTCCGGCCGTGAAAGAATACACGTGATATTTCCATTTCTATTTACGCGAGAATCTTTGATTCTTTTTTTGTGCATGAGCAATTTTTAAGTGAAATCGAATCGTGAACGATATCGCCGTCAAGACAAACCGTTAAGATGAAGTGCGACCGGAAGTGCGGCGGTGGTCTGTAGCGACGAGGTCGACAGAAACGCGTCACGAAAACTTATAGAGCGGTACAATGGCGAGTTCCTGTGAATTATTCCAGCGTCACTCCTCCTTTTCCTGGCCATTAGAAAGTTTCTCTTTTTCCGAGGATGGATGGGAAAGAAAATTGGACGCGAACTACGTGGAAAGTTTCGCCCGCCCGTTTTCCGGAATAATCGAAGACGCTCGGAAACGCGACGGGAGGCCGTGAAAATTTTGCAAAATTCATCTCGCTCTCGAACGACAACTTTCCTTTTTTGAGCCTGTCAAACTTGTCGATTTTCTTTCCTTCGAGGATTTGATGATTTGTTTCGATGACTTCGATTCTGCAAGCTTTTAGAAGTCTAATTAGGTGGGACTGGGGAATGAAGATTTGGAAATCATAAGAAAAGTATGAAATGTATTGTTTTCTAAAGTGGTACGTGTATATTTGTTCGATAACGAGCGAGGATCTTGGGGTTGGTTTTTATTAGAATATGAACTTTACGATAGAATGATTATTGTAGACGATCGTTAGGTACTCGGTGGTTCTGCCACAAGCAGTAAGGGGTCCGCCAATAACGAAGATAACTTGGACTACAAATAATACAGCAACGTTCCAACAACCATCCAACGGAGGGTTAATTACCGAAAATAAACTCTAACTCTGTACAACCAGAGTGGAAATTTCGCTTTTCTTTCTGCAAACATAGGAGCTGCCAGAACCATCAGTAAAACCGGAACAGTGTAAATTTTGCGTGGCACTTAGAATGTTACAAAGAATATCATACAATAATTTCATACCTTTTGAAAGTCTTCAATCGAAACGGGTTGTACTGATTCATGTATGAGCAAATCCACCAAATTTTCGCAATTCCCATGAATCAGTGTGTCATTGTTCGCGAAGAATTTACTCGTCTGCAAATGATAAAATTACATCGCACGGATTGTTCAGAGAACATGAAATAATTCAATTCAACCGCAGGACTCGAGGACCCCGGTGGAAAAGGTCTCGTAAAAAGGGTTTCGAGCGAATGAACGAGCTGCGCCGTAATTCCAGGTCCGAGGGGGAAAAAAAAACACACATCACTGCGTCTTTTGACGTGATAGGCGGAAAATATTAGCCATATGGTAGCCGTAACTAGTTTCAGCCTCGAAGCATGAGATAACAGAACGCAAACCATAGGGTTTCATCCCGTGTACGGGCTGCACGCATCGCTTCCGGTTCATGCAAATTGCAAACGGTGGAAACTGACGTGCTGCCTGTGGCGATTCGACGTTAACGTCGAGTGGACACGAACTCAACGACGCTTCTTAGATTATACAACGGCTGAAGAAACAATGAATTTCGGGGAAATGCTTGAAATACGTGCCGCAAGTTTTGCGCTACATATACAGGGTGTCTCGTTTAACTGTAATCCCATGAACATGTTTTTTAAATGTGAAAACTTAAAAAATATATATATTTTTATATAATATTTATATAATACACTCAAAAAGCGAGTTAGAATTCATAAATAACGAATACAGTTTAGGTTTTGACAATAGTGTGCAGGTTAGTGATCTAGACCGTAAAGTAGATACAGACAGTCGTGATCAGACGCGCAGGGAACCGCATTATGCAACCTCGGAGAAGTGTACCAATATTAGCTACAGTATATTAATAATGTAGACCAGCGCTAACATCCGCGTTCTCGAGCCGCATAGCTTGCGAAGTAGATTTCAACGTCTGCAGTCAGACTGCAAACTTATTAAGGGAATTGTAACGCAGAAATAATAATGACGGATCTACAGATATGGTAGCGATGAGCACTAAGAATACAACGAGCACTCCTCACCGTGATCAAAGCAGTTTGACGAAGTAGATGCATAACAGTCTATAGTTAGACGTCCAATTAGCTGCAGCTGCGCACACCAATTAGGTGTCCATTACACTATACGACGTCTATTAATAATTAATCCTATCTACAAAGTGTAGAACTCTGGGTCTCGAAGTAGATCGATAAAGTGAAAATAGAGTCACAAAGAAGAATTTATAATGGGTAAACAGATATTTCTACCGGAGTTACGACAAGAATTAAGCGAAGCGCATCCGTTGAAGTCACGTCGACAGAGCGACGATTACTGGACTGTGTCGCAAATACTCATCTCTCGGCCGATGTGCTCGATCTTCGGCCGAACGAACACGGCCGTGTAGAAGGCGGGCTTGCACGCGGAACGTAATATATTATAAACGAGGAATATAAGTTTGCTGATTCCTGGCCCGTGCCCGGCGCTACGCGCGATAGCGAGACCGTCGTTAGCCGTGGGAAACGGAACGTACCGCGCACGCTGCGCCCGCTGAACGCTTGTAAATGGATTTATGTAGGCTACGTTGAGAACATAATTCACTGGGCTCGCGTGTGTTCTTGTATACAGAAGCAGGAACACGGTGGCGATACGTCTACGTCCGTGTACAGGGCGTTCCAAAAGGATTAGATCTTCGGCAGATGTGTATCGAACAATTTAACTGTTTTTTAAATGAAACACCTTTGCAGCTGTCGCAGACACCTGTACAGGTGGTATCGGATTTACGTGACATAGATAATCGTCGGAAAAGAGGAAGAATAAACGAGAGAACGATCACGAAATAATAAAGAATATGTATAAAATATAAAAAATAATAAAAAATAGAGTGGGGACAGTATAATGGGAACTATAACTTAGATCGGATATGGCAGAAGCTTTTTACCGTTAAAGGGTCCAAGAGAAATCGTGTTGCACGTCGTGTGGGTGGCCTGCTCGTTCGACAAAAACGCCAAAAAGTCTCGTGTACCAGAATCTGGTCGGCCTATACGGACGGTGGTTCGATGAAAAAAACCGCCTCGTAAATAAAACGCGTCGTGGACCGCAGGTGATAATTAATGAGAGACGTTACGTGGACAGGTGTTTTTCCCCGGGGAATAAAGGTCGCGAACCAGTGATTGGACGTAAATGAAACAGTGATCATGGAAGATGAATAAATGTGACCGAGTCCGTCAGGTGATTCGGCTGAATAACGAGCGGGCAACGTCTCGTTATCGAGTAATTATGCATCTGTGAAACAGGCCGGTCTGGTCGTGAGTTCACGATTAATTGCGGTACCCGATTGTTAATCAGGTAACAGAACTGATTCAATTATCTATTGTTTGGGGATCTTCACCGGGATAATTGTTAAGTCCAATCACGCGAACCGTAACGAGGAATTCAAACAAAGGTCAAATGTGGATTCCAGTCGAATGGGAGTTGGGAATTTTCAGGAAGAATATAAACAGACTGTTCTGGTTTTCCACTGTTTTGTAACAAATTATGTTCTTGCGCAGAAAGGCTCGATTTGGTTAAAATAAAATAATCATATCCTGTCGAAGTATGGTACTATTTTGATACTTTTCGAGAATTCGATTTTGACATATTAGTATCTCTAACTGGTTAAAATGAGATCGATCACCGAATTTAGGGTTACGAACACTTCTGTTCGCAGGCAGGCCTACACGGCCTAACCGGACATATCGAGTTCAACGAAGGGAAACGGAATAATTTCAAGCTGGACCTGCTCAAGCTGAAGAAGGAGGAACTGGTGAAAGTCGGCGAATGGAAACCCGGAACGGGCGTTAACGTGACAGACGTCGGGGCATTTTACGAGACCACCGCGACCAATATTACCCTGGTGGTTATGACGAGAGAGGTAACGATCACTCAGGCCGGTGATAAAACAAATTTCCCGGATAATGAATCCCAAATCTAAAATCGTAACCTACGAAATGAAAACATGAAGGAAGTCTGAATAGAGTCGTTAAATAATAATCAGTGCATGAATGTAATTCTGTAATCTCAAGAACTAACAATAATTCGATCAGATTCCCAATGGATCATGACCGTCAAACAAGAAATATCTTTGATTATGATCCGTTTGAAAAATGAAAACCATCGGGAAAAAGCAGTGAAAAGCGTTTAAGTTCGAATCATTCCCCGTATTCGTTCATATTAAACCAGTCGATTGCCTCGTACTGCTTCATTTCATACAAAACAGCTTTTTCCTCATCCGGTGGAACTGGTTTCCGTTCTTTTTTTTTTCTTCCGATAGAGGCAAGGCTGAACGATCGTGTTTCCTCTATCGGGCTTCCTTTCGAGCCAGCCGCGTACGGGTAATCCATCAAAGGGATCTTATCTTCCGTAGGAAAAACCGTACGTCATGGTAAAGGAAGACAAGAATCTGACAGGGAACGCGAGGTTCGAGGGGTTCTGCATCGATTTGCTCAAGTGGATCGCCGGCCAGGTCGGCTTCCAATACGCTATAAGATTGGTGCCTGATCACATGTACGGCGTCTACGATCCGGAGACCAAGGAGTGGAACGGCATCGTCAGGGAACTCATGGAGAAGGTGAGCACGAAACTGTTACTCTTCGAAAGTATGATTCTGTTCGTCGTTCCGTGGTCACGGGAATTTCGATTCACGTTTCGGCTGACGAAATTCAACAAGAAAGCTCTTTTTCAAAAAAATGAAACGGTTATAATATTACAGGTAGATTGACAGGGGAATGTTGTACAGTCGATCAAAAAAACCTTCGTACACCCTTTAAAACGGAACAATCTTTTTAAAATTGCAGCAAGAAACTTGATTTTTTTCGTGAAGTTAGAAGGATTAGTTTACTAAATGATGTGTAAAGAAAAGTTTTTAAAACGTTGCAATTAGTCGGAATCACGAAGAAAATAGTAAAAGTAGCTTTTTACAACTATTTTATCTGAGACTTGATCCGGTTTAAAAAATGTTATTCCGTTTTAAAGCGTCTGCGAAGAAATTTTTGACTGACTGTACCTGGTTTGCTCATTTCATTCTCGAAAATATTGCTGGCTGTTCGTGATGACAATAGACTGTGAATGAATATATGCAACTAATCTTGTTTGTAGACCACTTTTTATAAAAACGAAATTTATACATTGAATATACATATAATACAAGTCGTTATAAAAGAATATGTAATTTATTCTTGAAATATTCCACGTATTATATAAAGTATACTACCGGCTAAAAGTATGGGACAATGTTTAGTAATTAAAGAAATAGAAAAATATTATTCTAAAAAGATTTCATAAATGCAATGAGCTAAAATTGATTGGAAATGATTTGTATGTATTTTGTTGTGTCATAACAGAACAATGAGACAATATTCCATCGATCATGGACTCTACGTCCCATACTTTTGACCGGTAGTGTATATACGATCGCAACCACGCAGAAAGGCTCTCAATGGAATACAAATTATAAAAGAATTTCGTGCTGAATCCCATTGATCGATGTAAAAGTGTAGCGTCGCGGTTGAATTACGGGGCACGGCACAAAAATTGCATATCTTTGTTGGAAAATACCAGGCGCGCATGGAAGTGGTACCGATGAGAGGAGGACGAACAATTTTATATGCAAATCAAGTCACCCGACGTTGTCGCAATAAATCCATCTCGGGATAGTATTTCATTATGCATACTCTGGGTCGCGGCGGGCATCTAATTTGGAGTTTTCTAACGGGTAACAACGTATCGGATATTCTGATTCATAGACCGTCACGCAGATGTTGCCACCCCCGGCATCTGAATTGTAAAAAGACGGCGGTTATTAAATCGGAGTCCCATCGGAACGACGCGACGTTCGTATAATTCATGAAGCGCTCCGCCATTGAGTGTCACATTATTAATGATGTTTCTTTCTTTACGTGAAAAATTGATTTTCTGTACTTCGTGTTTTCTTCTTCGTATATACATATTTACGAAGAGAATAATATTACAAGTTCAGTAGGCAACTGTTTATTATTCGATTAATTTAATAATCGATAGAATAACTGTTCGTGTTTCGTTAATGAGAAAGATAGAATGTTCAAAGGGTATATCGAAATATACATACCTGTGGACGTGTAGCCGGCAGGAAGTATAATTAAGACAGGGAGTCGAACGGAAGGAACGATGTATATTTACATATTTTTCAATATACTGCTGTAATATCGGGAAAAGGGAATAATGTATCAGTAGTTAACAAAACGAGGCGATAGAAAACGTAGTTGAAAATCTATATAGGAAAATTGATAGAAGAAGCATCATTTGCCGTCTCATTAAATACCTTCGTCACGCCGGTAAGTTTATCCCCGTTCCGCGACACAAAGCACGCCTACGTTTCGACGAAGCACAGCCGAACGATCATGACGTCGATATGATGAACAATATAAAAGAGGAAAGAAAAATAGAGAATGCTGTTGACGTTTTAATTGTTGAATTTTCATTAAAATATTGCAGTAACAATAGAATTGATCGGTTTATTATTGGACAAATTATATAGAATAACGTATATTTCCCTTTTCCAAAGGAGCACGGTGCCAAAATTCGCCCCTCGAGTTCAGCTAGCTCTAAGTGGTACAAGTACACACTGTGGTCAGACATCCGACAAGCAGCCAGACTGTGTAAACACCAAAGATTTGTAGCACTCAGGCGATGATATTCTGCGGAAACAGATGAAAGCAGGTGAAACGATGCGTATAATGCATAGCACAATTCCTTAATTTCTTGGCCATTCTAAAATTATTAAAATATTATATGTAGAAAAAACAGAGGAAACAACACAGAAAACAGAACAGAATTAAGAAGTAAAACAGAATGATGCCGTTTTATTGCGTTACAGAACACAGACTGTCAAACAAGATCGTCTCTCGAATAATTCTTTCGTAAATTTTCTTATTTTAATTGCATTCTGGGTAAGTCTCCAACATTCGAGATGACACTTGAATGACTTGTCGAACTCACGAAATCAAAACAATCTGTGACAAAGACGAAACACGCATAGTATTTCGTCTACACGCAGTGATAATGTTTTTGAAATTCGTTTGTATAATCTGGCGACAACAAGTAGATAAATAAACGATAATACCGATAGGATCCTTAAGTAGTACGAGACAGTGTATCGTCAGACTGCCTCCATTTCACGATTACGGTTATGTACAGCATCCTTTAAAGAGACGACAGAGAGTGCCCCAGCGAAGCTGAGAAGTGAAAATCTACGTCGAAAGGGAAAGAAACGCAATGTCCTTGGAGAGAAAAGAATCTCCGAAGGAGAGCCCTCGAGGCGCGCAAAGGATGGGCCCTCGGCGAGGTCGTATTTCGCGCGACTAACCGTAACGCCGACACAGATGCCAGCTGAACTCCGAAGATCAGCGGTTTATAAAAGATGCAAAGCAATCTGTCCCCCGTGAAAGGGTGTCCCCGCCTTAACCTAGAAAACCGTTGAGTTTTCGCTGAGCGGATCACGCCCGAAGGGAAGACGTCATTCGCGGTGACCTATCCGGGTCGCGTGGGTGTGTTTATAAAAAATGCATTCGCTATTTTGCAAGGCAAACATTCTCGAGAACTCCCGTGATCGAAAGTCGTGGCTTTGTGGTGATTTTCATGAACGGAAAGACATTGTTTACTTATCTTGTGCTTTCGTCCTCTCTTCGGGACGAACTTTGTGTTAGCGGGTGAACGTATTTCTGTTTTCAGAGACCGAAACAAGTTGCAATCTGCAAATAAATATACTGTAGACGCATAGGTTTTATAGTATAAAGCATACAATGCACTGGAATGGGTATATCAAAGTTGATAGTATTGGGAATTTTGCGGAAAAATAATATACCTACAGCACCGGCCAAAAGTATGGGACCAGAGTTCATGATCACTGGAACATTAACTCATTATTCTGTTACGATATACTACAAGTCACGGAATCGGTACACATACAAATCATTTCCAATCAGTTTTAACACATTACTTTTATCGAATGTTTGCAGAGTAATATTTTTCTATTATTGAAATTATCATACCCGGTCCCATACATTTTACCGATAGTGTGTCAGTATTCTTAGATATTCCGATTTAGATCAGATAGTTAGACTTCTGTAGATAACAACGATAAAAACAATTAACTGGTTTCATAATATTTGTACAGAAGAAACTAGATGTGAATCTCCCATTTCCATTCGTTACAACAGCAAAATCTGAAACGAAAAGTTCGAAACAGAGCAGTACTATGAACGAACAATTAAAGCCCGCCGCGAACGAATCCCTGGACAATTGCGCGTCACGAGGGACAAAAAAAAGCAGAACGATCGTGTTCCGTTTTGAGATTGAAAAGTCCCATTCTTTTTTTTGTCTTTCCAGAGAGCGGACCTGGCCGTTGCGTCGATGACGATAAATTACGCTCGGGAGAGTGTGATAGATTTCACCAAGCCGTTCATGAATCTCGGTATTGGAATATTGTTTAAGGTGAGTCGCTGTTATTGTTTGCGCTCCTCTTTGTCACGATTCGTTCGGGCTCGGCGTACCAGAAACCCGATTACGATCACGCGCCGACACGTAAAACATCTTGGTGTCGAAAAGCGACGCGCGCGGACATCGAAAAATTCTGTCCCGCGTCGAGAATCTCGTTTCGAAATAATTCATACTCGGTGGTTCGCGAACACTGTCGATTTCAAATTAATTTAATTATTGTTACTGGTAGCTTTTGACTGGTTACTGGTCGCAAACGTTTCCCAAACAGTCTCTACAGCGACAATATTTCTATGGCTTCGAACATTAAAATAGCGTGCAACCCGGTTTGAAAAGAATCACCCCACCTAACGGTGGGGCCCGTTGCCATGGTACCCTTACGAGCAAACTTGGCTTCCGCTAGGGGAAAAAGTAGCGTAGAAGATGAACCCCTTACCACTTTGTAAACTAATTTAAAAATCCTGAAATAAATGTTAAACCAACTGTTAATTGGGCATAAATTTCAATAACTCGAGATCAAGTGATAGAAGGCCCTTCAGCTACGCCACTTTTTCACCTACCGGAAGCCTAGTTTGCTCGTCAGGGTTCAATGGAGCGGCGGGATCAAGGTAGGGACGGAACGAGATTCTCGATGAAAACCGATCCAACAGGCGTATAAAACGTCCCCGCGGAGGGCCCGCCGTGCGAGGCGCGGGCGAGCGGTACGGGATCCGTTTTAATTAAAATCGTAGCGTAACGTAATTTAGGTGCCATCCAGTCAGCCAACGCGGCTGTTCTCCTTCATGAACCCGCTGGCCGTCGAGATCTGGCTGTACGTGCTGGCCGCGTACATGCTGGTAAGCTTCACCCTGTTCGTTATGGCCCGATTCAGCCCGTACGAGTGGAACAATCCCCATCCGTGTCTGGCCGAGAGCGACGTCGTCGAGAACCAGTTTAGCGTCAGCAACAGTTTCTGGTTTATCACCGGCACATTCCTACGGCAAGGGAGCGGGCTCAATCCCAAGGTACACTCTAACGGGACGCCACGACACCAGGGGGGCCACCTTTTCTCCCGTTTGGCTGTGCCACTTTGTGACACGTGGATCATCACCTTTCGCTGCACCCTCCGTCTCGAGAGATTTGTAGATTCTGTGAAGGAGATTTCGGGATTAATTGTAAATTTTTCTGACTAGTATATAGTGTGCACTTCTAAATAGAAGGGGGATCCAGATGATCCTCTGGGATTTTGATGTACTTCTGCAAGATAGTAGGAGACGTTGACTCTTGTCCAAATCCAAGAGCGTAGGTGCCAAATATCATTTGTTTACGAAGTAATCGATATTAAAATTTTATGGGACCCGCATATACATTAGACGCGAACGTTGTACCGTTGGAGAAATTTTAATGTCAATTGTTTCTTAGATTTCGATAAGGATCAATTTGTGCTACCATCCTGCAAAAAAATATAAAAATCCCAGAGGGTCATCTCAGACCTTCTCCTTGTCAGGGATTGTAATTGCCATGCGGAGGGAATGTTCTAGAACAGATAGACAATGGCATCTTGAATGATCCAAAGAACGCCATAAATTTATTAGCTTATTAAGGATTGTATAGGTTAACTCCCGGGCGAGATGCTCCAATTACTATATTTAATGTGATTCATAGAATAACTCCACTTACTGTTATGGTACGAAAAGATTTAGTCTTAGAAGAACTAAAGTACATTGTACTTCCTACTCGATGCTTTTCCTCCGACTTAACAATTATCGATCAATTACTAAGCCACCTATTATCTTAAGGCTTCCGAGTGAATTCAAATCCGGTATTCCAGTACTATCAACACTGTCAGGCTAAATTATTATATTTCGATACTCTCTCATAGAATTTACATATTTACCGAATTGGTCCCTGTCAAGACAATCCCTTACGCGGATCTGATTCCGCGTTGTTCCTCGGGGCTTGAATTACTGCCCTCCGTCGACTGTTGTTTCCTCGCAGTCCGTTCCTCCGAGGGATTCTCGACTCGATAAACGTAGGAACAGAAAGCCAATGCGAAATCAGAAGCTGTCACGTTCGAGCGCACCGATTGTCGTCGGCGATCATTGCCCTCTGGGTCGGTCGGAATCATTCAGAGCTGTCCCGTATCCACCGGGCTGGGCCTGTTTCTCGAAACGCGTCCCCGATTTTGACGGAGAGAAGCCCAAGGAATACGACGGGATAAAGGAGCTCGTATAACGGTCGAACTCACGGCTCGTTCCTGACTGTCTCTATTGTGCCGTGTCTGACGGCCCGGAGAATAGCGACCGAGCCATGATTTTAGCTGGATAAAGGATCGTCTTGCGCGGCATTCAGGTGGAGCAACGTGAGACTGTTGGCTTCTGAATTATTTTCGCGCTAGAAAATACTGGTTGAACCACGGGGGAGACGAAAACAGAGACCTCGAGGATCGTCGGTCCACAGACCGTGAAGAATCCTTGGTGGTCGAAGCTTAAAAGATCGGGTCGTTGGTTCTGACGCGAAAATACTTGTGTAATTGCTTCAGGTCTCCGGACGAAATACGTCGAGGCTGTTCTCGTTCATGAATCCCCTCGCTGTGGAGATCTGGTTGTCCATGCTTGGCGCTTACCTGATGGTCTCACTGTCGATCTGGATAGTGGCGAGGTTCTCCCCTTACGAGTGGGTCGAGCCTAGGGCTTGCCCGAGCTGCAAGTGTCCCCTGCAGGTAGGCTCCCGTCGTGTGGTGCACGTTGTGGCCGTGTAATTGGGTCTTTGACGGAGGAACTGTGTCAGTTGGGAGCCGTGGGAAATACGATGAATGTCGAGGGAACGCATCTTGTGGACTGATCGTGAGACCTTTACTTCCATCGTGTGAAACTTCGCAACTTCTTTGGTACTCTATGTGTCGACCTTCTGAAAAAATAATTTTTTGTGCTGTTACTGTCGATATTTAATGCTTAATAAAGTTACACCAGTATTCCGGGGAGGTCTCACGATCCTCCAATGCTCAAACAGTAATTAAACGGTACCGTGTACACTGTTCCGTAGTAGTGTTTGCTCCCTATAAGGAATTCATAGCCCCGCCTTGTCGGTACCAGTTGCGCGTGGTGATTGCTCTCGCGGCTCCAGTGACACAGTAATACCAAGGATCTGAGAATAGACTGTGTGTAATCGTCCTTGAAATTTCGCACCACTTGGCGGGGGTCACGGTGCGATCAGGGTGGTCACGTGAGCGCCTTGGATCCGGACAGCGACGACATTCCCCTGCTGAGAACCGTGAACGAGTTCACCCTGGCCAACAGCTTCTGGTTTACGGTCGGCACTCTTATGCAACAGGGCAGCGACCTCAACCCAAAGGTAAACATGTCACCACACAGAGTCGGCGTACGGAATTCTAGCTTTTGAACATGCTAGCAGCGGGAAATCTGGTAACCGGGGGGAGAAGCTTGTTGGATTTCGACTAATCTTGGCTGCACGCCCTGTCTATTCGCAACATTGACATCCACATTATGCAGGTATTGAAGTAGCCTCGAGCGCCTGCCACCGACATGTGAGAGATCGACACGATAATTAATCTTCCGTTGTTAAACAACCTGTGGCTATGCCGCTAATCGACCCTCGCGAAACGGAGATCTAATTTCTAAATTATCGAACATCATTTCATAATGTATTTCACATATTGTGTTATTTACAATGGATCAAAAATAGTTCATCATCGACGTGTCGAAGATTACCTATTAATTTGGTTGCACCTCAACCGTCCCTTTTCTCCTAAGAATTTATGTTATTTTCTCATATGTAGGTAAATTTAGCTGAGGCTACGGGACTTTTATGTTGAAGAATTTGCAAATTTAACTATCTATATCCTTCGTCATATTAATTTTTTACCACTGCGTCAATTTGGCACCGAGGAAAAACTGAAGTTGGGAAAAAAGGGTCGGTTGAGAGTTAACAAGTCCAGCGATCCAAATACACGTTTTAATTCCACTGAACCCGTACATAATTCGTGTAGAGCACGCAGCGCATAAGCGTTCAAGTACACTCGTCGTTTTTAAACGCGAGAAGAAAGGCGATCGATACAATTTTCGCGATTTAAACGCAAATAAAGCCAAGCACACCGAGGGGATGGGAGAGCAAAAAGCCAGGCTAACGGTCACCGTCTAGCTATAAGGTAACTTGTACCTCGTTACGACATTATTTCCCATAAGGATGGCTGTTTAAAACGACCTCGTAGAATTCCGTGGTCTTCATAAAGGCGAGGACCGTGTGCAGGACGCGCACACGCGGCTGGTTAACTGCGCGAGTACAAACGGGGTGGGACGAGCCACGAAAAAACAGGGTGGTTCGCTTTCTTCGCCGAACAATTACAGGGGACAACAATCTCTCTTTGCCCATTTTTCCAGCAAAAGCACGTTTCTCTTTTCTTGCTTACGCCCCGGTTCTTCCTTTTCCGTCCGCGTTCGGCTGTTCCTTTCCACCGTTTCACTGGGAACGACGTTTTTTTTTTGCCCCCTTTTAATCACCGTGGCAGGATGGTGGTCTGTTCTCTCCGACACGTAGCATCGGAAGGTGTCCCAGTTCCCGCGGAACCCTGTGTGCGTGATATCCGCCGGAAGGTCGGTAAAGTCCCAAATGGAACCGTGTCGGTGGTGGCGTCTCACGGGAAACGAAGAATTCGATTAATTAACTGATCGATTTTTCGAAACGTGAACGATCTCTGCATAGGTGATCCTTTTATTGTTAAATATTAAGGTCAGATTCAGGAAGATTTATTCTTCTATCATATTTTCTCACCTTTTCCTGTTTCAAAATAGTAGAGCAATGTCCAACAAGCTTCACCGTTTTGAAAATGAGAAAGAACCTTCTGAACCGAGGAAACAATTTCAAGCACCATATATGAGTACATCGTGGTCTATTTATCGAACTACGTATCGTCCGTCTATTGTCGAAGTGCGTCGATGTGGTTACAACGGTGAACAGATTTTTGCTTTAGAGGAGCGACCGAAATATTCGCTTTCAGAGAACGCATGTCACCCCTGCATGCACATAGCAGCCAAGCACCTTATATTTTGTTGATATCGCATTTCCATCGCGTCGAACAGTTTTTTTCTTTATATTCAAAACATTTGGTAGCAATTTCGAACGAAATTTTTATTACGTTACTCTTGTTACGAGCGAAGGAAAGCATCGACGAACGGTCCCGGAACTTTTATGCATGGAAAATATACCCTTTCAGCGCGCGCATAATATCTCACGGTCGTTGCGCAAATACAGCGATATATATGCTATCGGTGGGCAGTCGATAAATCCGAAGACATCGGTTTTTTACGTCACGCTTTGTAGTCTCGCTAGACGTGCGGAGGATACACCGATTTCACGCGTTGCTGCTTCTTTGAGCGACAAGAATAGACCGACAAGCGACAATAAATGCATGTGACCTGTGGTTTTCAATGTTGATTTCATATTCTACGCGCATTTGACAAATGACAGATGCAAAATCAATGAGCCTAGAATAGTAACAGATGTCTGGAGAATAATTCAAGAGCTTCGATATAATCGAACTGAAATGATCGTTCATTCTGACGTATCTAAGTTTCAACGTTTCCGAAAAAAAAATGTATATCTGTACGGTTACGTTCGAAACATATTCGGTATTCAATTGCACCGCGAGAAAGAGCACAGAAAACACTCGAGTATCGCGTGAGCAAGGCATATCCAATTTCGAGTAACGCTCGGAACGAAGAACATTGGAAAAGGAGAGAAAAGGCTTGGTCGATTAGTGTGCTGATTGCTTCCCCCCTGGGGCCGTCCACTCCGAATAGCTGCTACCTGTAACTCACCTGGTCCAGTAGCTACAGTTTTTCTTTGATCGAAGCTATAATTCGTTGGAGAGTAATATATATATTGAATAAACAGACACTAGATTAATCGTAAGAGGAAACGAGCTTTGGCCAATAGGCTATTAAAACAACCGAGGAACAGCTATTGCCAGAAGCTCGATACTCTCGATAATTCCGGACAATTTTCGATAGACGGGAACGATTTACGGAGACAAGGGAACACCTGTACCACATATGGCGTTAGCTAACCGGCTCTGGTGGCATGTATGTCCATGCAGGGTTGTCGTCGCTACTCTGCGAGAATCGTTCGTCGAAACCTTGGACGAACGGATACGCGAACGATTACGATCCTTTCGTAAGGACAAAGAAATTCTTGTGCTTGAAGGGTATTCCGTAACTTCGATCACGATAACCGTGTAATATCAATTGTCAGGCAACGAGCAATTCTTTTCCTTGGAAACTTTCCCCATTTCAATTCTGTTCGCGAATTCATTCATTTTTCTCGTTCGAAACGTAATGAAATGTCCGCATCGAATTTCGAGTTTGAGGCAATTGCAGCCCGATTTTGACAGATGGATCTTCCATGATCGTTGGATAACTAACAGGGGAGACGTGCGACGGAATTATTCTGTAATGTCTTGCTTAGGGTGGTCGCTTCCTAAGATCGATTTGCAGTCCCCGCTAATGGCACGAAGTATGCCATTAGCGGTCTTACGATGCATAAATGAGGTGCCGCATATTGCATTCTTCGATCTTGGAATGTTGCTTCGGAGAGCGGATGCCACCGATGTGGTTTCGATTGATCGTGAGAGCTCTTTATGGTCTTCCGGCTCCGAGATGCGAAGCTGAAGTGACATTTCCCTGGAATATGATTGCCTTGCGAGCATTACAAGGTCTGTTGAGTGCCCTAAGAATGCTCCTTGAACTCTATTGCGAGCCTCCCTTTGTCATTATAATCCGCCAAAGAATGTCTACTTTGAAAAGTATAATTTTACGCGAATTCGTTACCATACTTGAGCCTAGAGTTACATCGACACAATAGAACTCGGATTCTTCGGTGAAAAAATTAATAAACGTGTACGAATATACTTTATAGAATGGAGTAAGACACTTTCGCAAAGTCAAATGAGATCAGATTTCAAAATTCCAATCCTTAAGCTTACCTTTCAAGGAATTAAAATGCAAAACACTGTTTTGGTGTTCGTTGTTTCGATTCCGAGGAACAATGATAACAAGCGTCCACCTGTTGTTTCGCTGCTTCGATTCTTCGTGGGTCTATAGACGCCGCGATACAATGAACAGAAAGGGTTGCAATTGCCAGCTATCTCGACCCGAGTCCCTTGAACACTCGGAAAGGAATTGCTCGACGAAGCAGCCGCATGGTTGAAAGTAAGGGGAGTATTGATCGTCATTATCAGGCAACCAGCACGAGAATAGTGGGCGGTATCTGGTGGTTCTTCACGCTGATCATCATCTCTTCTTATACGGCGAACCTGGCCGCCTTCCTGACCGTGGAGAGAATGATCACGCCGATCGAGAACGCGGCGGATCTAGCGGAACAGACCGAGATCTCTTACGGCACTTTGGAGGGTGGCAGCACGATGACGTTTTTCAGAGTGAGTAACCGAAGATTAATGGGCGTTGAAATGAAAATTCGATGGTAGAGAGAATCGACGTTCTCGAAACTGGTTCATGTTCTATGGACAAGTAGTATTACATCGTGGAAATTTAGGGAAATTGTGGAAGAGAATTACATTAGTTAATATAAACGCGATAATAAATAGCACTTTTGTAATTATTAAAGATGAATTTTAAATGATAATAATAGTAATAAATATTTGGCACGTGAAAATTAACATTTCTAATCAATGGCGCGAAAATTGTTTAAATACGAAACAATTATTTAATCTACGCGTTTTAATAAAATCTATTACACATGCACAGATATTCCTATTGTTTATCAAAGTACTAACACCAAAGTAGAAAATTAACATTTCTTTCAATACTGTTATCTTTCCATTCAAATTAAATCCGCAATTCTGATTCCCTTCTCCACGCGAGTCCATTATCTCGAACAGATAACATCAATATTTCCGTCATATTTGGACGGAAAAGCATCGATGAAAACGTTCGGAACATCGACAACACCTATTATCGAATGAAACTCTCGTTAATGTTTCAAGCACCTTTCCCGCTGGTATTCAAACTCGTGCCTTTCGATTATTTTAACGAACTCGGAATGCATACACCTACGTCCGCGACATGAAAACCGTAAACTTACCAGTTGTAATCGCTCGCCGCGACTAATTCCACTAATTGTCCCCATTGAACGTGTACAACGAATTTTCGCCGAATCCAGCGCACAAAATCCACAGCTCGTTCCGGGCATTGTTAAATTTTCAAAGGGTGCCTCTCCGCGGGGACTCTTAACGTTAATAAATTCGTAACGTCATTGCAAGCGACTCGGCCGCTGTTGCATTGTACTAATACCGAGATATTGAAGCCCCGCTCGTTTCAGTCCACGAATATACTGTCTATCCATCCTGAATTCATCCACGGATCCCACGCTTGTATCGTCGATTATGTGAAACGGGGGAACGAAAAGATCAAAGGAAAAGCATGCGAGATTCATCTTTCGAGAAATTGCTCGCTGAAATACCAAGTAAATTGTGCGTCCAATATATTAATAAAACGTTATCGTCGTCTCGCGTGAACGCTACGTAAATTGCCAAGTCTGTATTGGATAGCGAAATAATCAGAGGCGGCGAGGTAGGAATTTATCGAAGCACACAAATTTCGATGTTATAAAAGCGCTCTCTATTCAGCGAGGAGAGAATGTCCCCTCCCTCGATAAAGCTGTTAATGGAGAAAGGCTGTTTTCCACGCGCACGGTTTATATCGATAATTTCGTGGTTTATATTCTGTTCGAACGACAGGACTCGAAAATCGGTATATATCAGAAGATGTGGAGGTTTATGGAATCGAAGTCGCCGTCGGTGTTCGTGAAGAGTTACGAGGACGGGGTGAAGAGGGTGCTGGAGGGTGACTACGCCTTCTTGATGGAATCCACTATGCTCGATTATGCGGTACAACGAGATTGCAATCTCACGCAAATCGGCGGCCTGTTGGACAGCAAAGGCTACGGGATTGCCACCCCGAAAGGTAATATCGGAAAACAATTGAACTCCCGTGTTTGCGCGTTCCGCCCTTACGATGGAAGCTGTTCGATATTTCAGAAAATAGTCGACTCTTTGCAGGAGGCCACGGGGGTTGGAGCTTGAAGTAGAAAACATTCGCACGACAGAAAATATATAGAATTATATATAGAAAATATATGGATTGCAGAATAATATACTAGTGTACAGAAATAACAGTACAATTACAGTGGTAGGAACAATAGCATTCGATGTCAGCTGTTTTCTTTAAAACGTTGACTGCCAACTAGGTACGAGATAACTCATAGATGAAACATTGCAAAGAGGTTAAATTATTTAAATACCGTTACAAAATTTTTGCGTAAAATTAATATAAAAATGAAGTACAGTGGGTCTGGCTATGTACAGCCTTTTTCACTGTGGTAGTCAACGTGTTGAAGAAAAGTAAAATAACAATTACAGTGTTTCATTTCTCTGAAGTTTTAATCCACGACTGAAATAAAAATAAAAGAGGTCCTGCGACCATCAACATTGTTACTTGCAAGAACAGAACGATAAACACCGTTTAACGGTTGTCTTTACGCGTAAAAGTGGGGTAACCGCGTGTAAAATAAGAGTGTAAACACCGTTAACTTTTAATTTTCCTCTGCAACTACCACGGAATGCCACTTCGCTACAATGTTGTCGCCACGGTAATCGTTGCTGCACACAGAAAACATCGTAAAGTCTTTAGATTTGTGGCTGACGTTACGGTGTTGCGGCAGTCGTGCGCCTTCGAGGTAGCGAAGAAACGAAAAACGACGGAATTTTTAACATAAATTTGGAAACTTCGGTGTGCTGGAACTATATGCCGACGGGCGTGAAACGACTTAATTAACGGCTTGAAACGAGCAGCGCGAAATTTCGAATCCCGGAAACCTAGATTTTATATACAATATTTTTTTTCTACAGTAGCATTTTGTTAATCTTTTTATAATCATGTGGTCATATCATAGAAAGAATGAAACAATTGGAGAGAATCGTGTCACCTGTTTTCTATAATCACGTTAACAGTAATGATGCATTTGTAGAAAGAGAATACTGTATTCCGTTCTGTCATCGGATCGCTAATAAATCTTCCATAAATGTTAACATCTCGATTGAAAAATCGTTCTCCGTCCTCACAGAACGATGGTAAGGAAAATCGATTTCCCTTGTTTGCAGTTTTCTTTTCAGTCGCCGAAGGGGCGCGAAACGGAAACGGGGGACAAGCCAAGGCAATCTCTACCCACGCTCAAAGCAGAGTTGCGGGTATACTCCTTGACCGATCTAACGAGCTCGTTTTATATGCAGGTTCGCCCTGGAGGGACAAAATATCGTTGGCGATTCTGGAACTGCAGGAGAAAGGAGTGACGCAGATCCTGTACGATAAGTGGTGGAAGAACACCGGGGACGTGTGCAACAGGGACGAGAAGAGCAAGGAGAGCAAAGCTAACGCCCTCGGAGTCGAAAATATCGGTGAGCGGACGAAATTAAATTTTTTCCGCGGACCAGACCGGAAAAAGAGAAGGAAAGGGAAGCGGGAGGGAAAAAAAGCATACCGGAGGTGTCGCTGAAATTTACTGCCGCGGGAAAAAGGGGGAGGCGACGCGGGAACTTTATCTGACGTCGCTCAGAACGGCCGCCTCGCACGAACGTTTGAATTTTTTATTCCCACTTATCAGCGGTTTTGCTTGATAGAAAGTACCACAGGATCCGTACCTTTCGCTCGTTCTTTTTTATGATGTACCACGTAGAAAAAGCTGCCGGGGCGTCAGGGGTCAAGAACATTAATTAGTTAAACGTTATGAATAGTAGTAGCTGGGTAAATATGGACGAGCTTACAACGTATTTGAATTATGCTTCCAGTAATTATTAATGTATCGGTAATCCAGTGCTGTATAATCAATACACTGTACGAGCACAGGCTGTGAATATCATGGTCTGCACATAATTAATTAGTTACTTCGCAAGGTTTCCACAGACATGGACCGTACTGAACGATGGATTGGTATTCGTACTATCTAGTATACAGTGTAAATTAATTCGATGATGAGAGCGTCCATACTAGAAACAAAGGAAATTTAGTTAAGATAAAGCATGTCAGCAACGGGACAACACTCACGGCCAAATTATTCTATAACGCAGAGAATATTCGATACAAATTTCTAAGGAACAATTCTGTCGAAGAGATTCTCTTACACCTCCAGAGAAAATATATTTGCATTGCACTCGAAGCCGACAAGGTAACACGCACGTATCTTATCCGTGTCCATATAGCCATTTCAGCCCTGTAACAGGAAACTTCGAAAGCCCCAGGTGAAACTTCATGCATACTTGAAAAAGAAGCCGGAGTAATATAGTATTCCCTTTGAAGAAACATCACGATTCCCGGGCTCCAGAATGCCAGTTCATTACGGTGGCATTTCTCAGACACAATAACTGTTGCCGGAAACAGGGTTTCGGGAGCAGCGGATAAGGAACTTCGCGGCTTTGAACCGCGGCAAAATTTTGCGAAAAGTTCCCATGGAATTTTTCCTCGGGACAGGTCATTGAGAACCCTTTTCCCCCAGATTTTCTCGAAGTCACGAGACAAGTTCTCCCTTTCTATCCACCCCAGTCGCCCTCCTCCGACCACGATTCTTCCACTTCCTTTTTTTCCACCCCTCCAGAACGCAGCCCCGCAATTCTCCCACTCCCGTCTTTTTTTTCTCGCCCCTACTCCGGGCAGAGGAAGCCTGTAACTTGGATAAGTGGCCACTTTGCCGGGAACGGGAACGTACTCGTCGAGACAAGAAGAAGGACGAACTGCTCTCGGGGTACCTCGTGAAATTTCAGCCGGGCTTTGCTAATCGCCTTTCCACGGGACGCAGCGACTATCCGCCGAGGGAGAAAAAAAAAAACTGTGGCGCAATCGAGGCTCTTCTCGAACGTCGGACGGATAAATTGAACTTGCCCACGGGGTGGTGTCGGGTCTCGGAACGCTCTATGAATATATACCATCGAGAATTTCTTCGCATTCTCTCCCTTTCAATTCGAATTCTTCCGGTTCCCTTTTACACTTACAGCGTCAGCTTCTCTGAAACCTGAGTCTCGACCGAGATCCTATGTTCTCCCTCGACATCTCGCACATCACTCGTACAACATTAAACATATTTATATATCTGTTGAAATGAAAGGTGGCGAAAAATAAAGAAAAAGGAATGGTGCACTTAGTCCTGTTGGTGGACTTGTTAATAAGGAGGCTATAATATCCGTACATCCTGCCTTAAACGAGGGGATGTTCGATGGTTTCTTTTTCGTTTTTATAGAAACCAAAATCGAGTACCTGCGGGGAAGGTATCGACTCAGAAGCCCTCTAGCAACGTGTATAAAAGTTGTCACCACATATCTGTGATTCCAAGAATGAATGATTATAGGTGAATCGTGAGACTAATGGTGAACGTTACACGGAATTCCTTGAAGTCACGGCTGTTATTAATCATATCGTGAAAACTATTTACACGGCACGTCAGAAGTTTCATACGCGATACATGGGCGGTATCATAGGCGCTGCTTGCAGCTACGTTGTCTTTTGTCGTCTCGCCGTGAAATTAATTAGAACCGCGCGGTACAAGGAAACGGACCGACGTCCACGGGTAGAAACTTTGCTACCTTCCTGCGGAGAGACGCGTCGGACGTCGTTTAAATCACAACGTCAGCGCGCAGTTTATGCAAATCCAGTCTCCCTCCGTTGAAACGAGCACCGGGCTACCACGTTCACCTGACGCTGGGATACGGTTCCACTTAGCATACAGATGAAGTTACAACATCGACATCGGTAGAATTGTTTTAAAACCGCTTCACCCGGCCCTACGGATGACGTACATCGTGCCAGGCGTTTATCACTGTTTGCCCAGTGTTTTGGAGGCCAGCTGCTCCCAACAGTCGAGATAAGTTCCTTGGGGGAGGGGGCGGAAGAAAAGAATAACGCAACGCAGTGCTCAGTGCTGTATGTACGAATGGCGACGTAGATAAGAACTAAAATGTGCTAACACAGGAAGCCGAGTTTTTAGGGAAGTTCGTTTATCATTAAGAAGTTTCCCTGCGACGAACAGAACGCGCTGAAGACATTTATAAAGTCGAGAGGGTAGTCTTAGCTGTTGCCCAATGAAACTTATTGCTCTGTAAAAGTGTTCTCGTTACCGGTGCTCGCAGATTTATAGAAAAAGGATAATTAGGCTTCCAGGTATTACAAAATAGTATTAATCATTCAATTATGTCGGAAGCTAAAGCTTCAGAACTTCATATTCAATTTACTAGAATGGAAGAATATTTGTTTCCCAGTTCAAGGTTCATTATTTCCATGAATTGTAAGTCTGGTTTACCTGCATCATAATTTTCGAAAGGATTTTAAATTCTTAATTGTAATTCTTGTACGCCGAAATTACGGACGAAACGTTCCATGCAAGATGATTTGCCGCATCGTTAAATCGCGATGCAGCATCACGGTTCCACGATAGGAGAGCCGCTCGACCTAGGCAAGACGAAAAAATCGAACGCTCGAGCCACAAGTAAACACGAAGTTAGCTCGATATCCGTGCGAAAGCACACGGGGAAAGCTCGCGGGCGTGTATGCACCGATTCCGAAAAAGTTTACGGACGTTCGTGTATGCCCCAGGTCTACACACGAGGCTAAACTTCGTGGATATCGCGAGCAGAGAGAGCAAAACTCGCTTTGGCTCGCACAAATTTCGCGAGAGGAGAACGACTGCGCGAGTATCGCGAACTTTTGATAAAGCTGACTCGCGAGGTAACGATGCTGCACGCCTAGGAGATTTAACGATGCTGAAAGTTCGAAATTCAGGTGAATGGAGGGTTATCTATATCCAGTTGGGAACAGAATACAGAAATTACGAAATAATCGAGGCGTAGTTAAAGAGTCAGACATTTAGTTCGTGTTGCATTTAACCTCCTTAGTAATTAGATATGTTCACATAGGCACCTGAGGATCGCAATTAAGACGAATAACTTTATAGAACTGTATCCTCTTTACAACTTTGGGAAGATAGAATTACCATTACGATGCACAGTGCAGGTTTATTTAACAAACGATACGATAAACCATAAATCTGAGCACGGAGGAATGGTAGGATAAGAATCTACTTCTCCTTCCATTATTCACAAGTCAATTATCGTACAATACATCCATTGAAATCGTATCATGACAAATTCCCCTTTTTACATCCTCCTTTGCATTGAAATATCGCGGTATTGAAAGAGCCAAGCATAAAAAATATCTCTGAACGATAATATTAATGTAGAAAATAAGAAGTAATCCTCGATCGCAGTGGCAATAATACCTTCGTCTCCCCGTAACACCCTGGTTTAATTGCACGGTCATCCCTCCCGAACCTTTCGTCGAGTGCAACTTTCTGCAAGGATCTCTCGGGCTCTCCTCCTAGATATTGCACGATCTCTTAGCTCCCGATAGAAGTTTCCCTTCTCCACGTCCATTTGGAACTCTTTCTCTCTCTCGAGGCGCGAACTTTCAGCTTGACGAAGAAAAGAAACGAGAGGTGACGAAGAGGAGAGGAGATTGAAACTTAACAAAGACCCTCGAAGCAGAGAGGCAGAGACGTAGGCGTAAATGACGACAGGGACGTATAGACGAGAAGGCAGACAGATGGACAGATAAATAGACAAATAGACCGTGGGTGAATGGGGGCGACCTGGAAAAGGGGCTTAGTGAGTTAGGGTATGGTGGGTGGAAGAACAGATTCAGGGAACGGTCCACGGTGGCAGGTACATTAACTCCGGGTCGCGCGCGCGAGCGATGCTCGTCCGACGTCAGAAAAGAAACGGAGACACCCGCCGGCGGCGGTGAAATAATGAGCTTCCGGTTTTCTCGTTCCCAGGTGGTGTCTTTGTCGTGCTGCTCTGCGGGCTGGCGCTAGCGATCCTCGTGGCGATCCTCGAGTTCTGCTGGAACTCCAAGAAGAACGTCCAATCGGAGAGGGTAAGCGAACGTATTACCACCGGCGAGAAGATAATTCCGTACAATTTCGTGCTTCGGGTGTACGTGTTGCATGAGTGTACTTTCTCTCCGTAGCGGTTGCAAGGCCGTTTGTTCTTCGCGCGGCACTATTGGCCGCCCGCGTTTCTATTACCCTTTCTTCTGCGCCCTTTCGAAACCGTAAATGGAACATTTTCCTGCTCGAGGTGTCAGTTGCATGCCGTGTCCGACAACTTTCCACGAGCCCACGTTTTCCTTAACCAGGTAGACGTTTCTTAGACGTGATTTCATTTTAACACCCGGTAACATACAATTGGCCGATTGAACAACGATGATCGATATATCCGTTGTTAACTGTCGATTTCTGTATTTCTCCTTTAAAAGTTACATGGTATGTTATTGATATTATATTCTTAATGTCATTTGCTTTTCATTACTTTTTTTTTTACTGTTTCGCTAGTCTAATGTACGATCCTATTCTACTTGCCCGATCGGATCCTGCTCGATCTGCCTGATTCGTGCCGCTTGCTTCCCTTTGTCTGATTGCAATCGAATCGTTATACCTTTATTAACACGTTGCCGCACATTTTTCGTTCTCCAATTTGATACGCTTAACACTTTGACTTGCCATGAACGAGGGGTCACCGTGAACCACCCACCTAAAAATTAATATCGCAATATAATTTAAAACAAGACCAACAGAACCTCTATTACCTAAACTAGTTAGTACTAATTACAAAACAAAACGAAATACAGTGTGTCTGGCTATTTACAGCTTATATCACTGTGGCAATCAACCTATTAAGATCGGAACTAGGGAAACTTGTCTATAATCGTTTATCGAGTATCACATGTGACGATTCGTCCACGTGGTCTTCTGCACACATAGAAAAACCCATTGCTTAATTCCCCCACTCGTAACGTAGATCCTCGACAATAGGCGCCAACGTGTTAATCAAATATACATCCTCCCACTGTCTGGCTTCTTGCTCGGCGTATTAGACCCCCCGCTAGCACCGTCAACGTAAGTTGCATGCAGGTGAGACATTCAACCAAAGAAACATGAATACATTATATACATGAACTTTGTCGATCCAATGGTACACCGACAAGAAAACCATCTACCGCCGGGTTCACCGCTTGTCCGCTCTTACACACAGTTCGATCCATTTAGCCTGCTCGCTACGAATCACCGCGTCTGTGTGTCTACGCACTCGCACAGACACGCACCCATCAGTAAGCTACATTCATGCTCCGATACAATCCCTCGATCCGCGACGGCACGACGACGACTCGTCCACGTACGATCACTCGTTAGCAAACCATCACAAGCACCCTCGAACCGGCCACGAAAGCACCGTCATCGCAAAAGGCACTCGAGCGAACCGAACGAACGAAACGGTCTTGCGCGTGTTCTGGAGAGGAAGGGACTTCGTATGGTGCATCGTCGAGTGCTCGATCGTCTTGTGTATCATCTGTTGGTATTGTTGTGCCCGCCTGTCTACTACCCGTGTTCCAAAACCATCGACTGAACGAAACCGAACGAACGGAACACCGGACCGCACGTGGATTTAATCATTCTTCCTCGAACCAATCTTCGACGGCCTACACGCAGTCCCTGTGCGCCGAGATGGCCTCCGAATTGCGGTTCGCCGTGCGGTGCGGCTCGCGGCAGAGGCCAGCCGCAAAAGCCCGTAATTCCGACGCCGCGGTGCCATGCGGCCGTTGCAGCCCGCGGACCAGCCGGAGGAGAACGAGATATTGCTCGACCGGCCACGAGGAGACCACCTACATACCGAGCATCGAGATACCGCGATTAAATGGTGTAAGTCCTGTCCCTCACGACGGGCTCGCGATCATCAGTGACCACTTCGGGGATCCGAACGGAACGCTCCGATCCAGCGCGTCGATTGTAATCGGTTATGATCGGTTAAGATGATAAACGCTACAAGGCGTTTGCAGCCAGGTAGTGCGCACAGAGGTGGGATAAAAAGTGTGATTTGACTCCGTATTTTGTTCAACAATGATTTTGTATTCATTTGTGGTTGATTCTAATTACTATGATCCTCTGAATTTTAATAAACTTTAAAGAATTGAACTTGGATAGTTTATATGCTAGAGGAAGATTGCAAATTGGGACTATCGCGCAGTGAGCCAGAATCAAAATTTAGCAACTGATCAGAAGCAGATTTCTTTTATCTGTTAAAATCCGTGAATAATGAGACTTAGGAAAAGGCATAGAAAGAAAATCACGAGAGATCCCCGAAGAGAAGCCACCGTTGATCGCGGAGCAGTGCCGATTTCACGGTAATTCAATGCCAACGATATCAAATCGAACCATTTCCACGAAGACACCCAAGTGTATCGTAGCCCAACGATTAATCGATTACCGTGATCGAGGCACAGTCTCCATGTAGCCCAACAACCAATGTACGCGTTGCCTTCGTCGATCACGAAAAACGAAAAAACAAAAAGAAAAAAAACGAGAACGGATTGGAAAGAGAATACTAGAGCCACAGCCGAATCACGAGAAAGGGAGTATTGCCGATGGAAGTGCCTGAGCGATGTTTTCTCACTTGATTTTCTTCCTTTCGTAATTTTCTGTTTCAGTGTTCTGGGTGTCTCTCATTCTTTCTCTCTTTATCTGCATACACATTGTAACCAAATCGAAAACACTTGTGTTGTGCGTTGCGCTGATGAGAAGAAAAAGAACTATACCTTTTTGCTCGTCTGTACAGATACACGAATATACATGTATGTGTGTTATGCATTTTGGCACAGTCCAATGTATCCTTGCCGCTAGCCAGCCGACCGATCCGTGTGTGTCTGTGCCTGTTTAACCACGATCGGCGCGGACGTTCGATTACACACGCTTACACACGCAGTATACTACACTTCGAGTCCACACACGCGTCATTGGCGCGTTATATACTCGACTGCATGCTTCGAATTGGTGTTGAACGATCGTAATTCGGGCTCCCGTCCCGACGTCACTTGAAATTCGTTGTCGCGTTCGACGAACGCCTCGGGGTGTGGTGTGTTCCTTGCGAACCATTGATCCACCCTCGAAGGACTTGAAAGCTTATACACGTCGAACACTGGGAATTTTTCTGACGTGGTTCTGGAATATTATTTGCAGAGGGGTCAAAGGTAAAAATTTCAAGGTTCAGAATTACAAATTTTCATTACACTGAGTATAAGCGGTCCCAAACTTCTATGTGACAAAATGGGTTTCTCGTCAGGCGTACCCATAAGTAGTCTATTATTTCGTTTATTTAAGTAACGCGACATTTTAAATGCAAAGTACCTTGTCGATTTTTCATTGTGACTAATAATGGTGTAGGGTGTTGGATAATTATTTTCCGTGAAGAAATAATGGATAACTTACTAGTACACCTAATATATCAGGTAAAAAAGGTGTTCTCCTGACCTTAAAAAAAAAGAAATTTTCAATTAAATCTCTGCACAGTCCACTGGATGTGAACCTTGTTATTTCTAACGGAGGAAGCTCGCAGCATTCACTTAAACGAAAGGATGCAGTTATCGGAAATTCTGTGTCCAACAGAAAAATCGTGCACAGTGGCACACCGAGTTCCATTCGTAGGAAAATTCTCGGCGCGATTACGGTATCGATAGCGCGTCCGCGGCGTTAAATAACTCGTAAAATTTGATTTTTCCATCGGGGACAGCGTACGAAGCCGTGCTACTTGTCGTTACATCTGAGCAAATATCGACAACCGAACGGTTACATCGCGAGGAGAATAGAGTGTTCGTTAAACAATATTGCGTCCCTGAAAGGCTGTCGACCCTGTCACTTGTATACAGGGTGGACCTCGAAACGTGATCAGCTTATTCTACTAATTATTTGATCGAACATTTTATCTGCTAATACAGTATGATTCAAGGAGACCTTTAGGATGATTGTACCAAATTTTTTGTTACTTCCTTTTCTCCAGAGTTTTCAAGGTCATTTTCAGTTTTCTTTTATAGAAGAACCTATGATTTCATTTTTCAACACCAACGAATTTCAGTTTTCTGTAAATATAATTAAATCTCACGGAAATCAAATATAAACGGGTACAGAAGGTATCGTGAAAAGTTTATTCGTCTAATGGAGCCTTTGCAATTTATTGGAAAAAATGAATTAATAATCTCATCGGCGTCCATATCTCTCGTTTTTACACGAATTTCTTGAATTCCACGTGGTTCGCCTATCTCAGAAACAAAGGCGCAGAATGTCATTTCCGTATTGTAGATAATATTGTACAAAACGATACCGAGCGTAATTCATGCGATAACCAACCTGAAAACGCGTTTTCGTTTCCTCTGTCTATTCGTCCGAGACGAAGCGTATGGTTCACGGCTCGACCGAGTCGGCTCTGGTTAAAGTTTAATTACAGTTCACCTCGGCCAGGATTAGCGACTCAATCGAGTTTCATCGGCGGATTCACCACCCCCCAAAACTACGCCCGAATCGGATTTCGGGGTCTTTGCGTCAACTTCGTCGCGAGCGGAAACAGAGGTGGTAGGGAAGCGGGGAAATTCTAAAAGCGTATTCTAATCTCGAAACATCCTTGTGAATTCCGGACGGTTTCCTTTCGATACTTTAATCAGTGTTCCCGGAACGCGGGGTATCGGAGAGTTGCCGCGGTTATTCCAAACTTGCGTCTCATAAATTATGCCTAGTTCGTTCCATATGGTAATTCCTTTCCACGGAATTACACGTGTATGGTGCGTTTTTCGTGATAGTCAGTTCGATAATTTTATTTATAATCCAGAACATTTAAAAATATCAAACTCTACTGGTAGTTCCTTCGTTCATACTTTTTCTTATTAATATTGTCTAAAGCTTTCGACGAGTAAAAACCTTCAATTTACAAACGGTCGATATTAAATTATTTAACTGTGCGTGTCTAATTTACGACGAACAAATCGAATCGCTTTTGAGTCATGCACCATTGGTTGCATTTGGTGATATCAAATTCCACCAACCAGTGCGGACCACTCGTTTTGCTTCCGCTAGCCAACCTGAGACGCTCCGCCCAGTGTCGTTACTATTTTTTTCTGAGAAAGATCTATCATATTTCCTATCGAAGAGGACGGAATCCCCTTTCCGATTTTACCACCGCCGGTATTTTATCGATATTCTATCCGGTCGCGTGTATGCACCCATATTTTTACCACCGTGTATGGGATTTTCGTCGTGAAGCGCAGATGAGCGGACGTAAATCGATATAACGGATTTATTCGACATTCCGTGCACAAACACGGCACACGAATAAATGTAGGAACTTCGTCGGGTCAGTGTACGAAAAGAAGATGGAGAAACGGTAGATGGTAGCCGGATCTTCGAAATTCTATTGAACGCGCGGTAACAAAACGACGCGAAACGTCCCTGGACCATAAAGCAGTCAAACCGATACGTAGAACTCACGTGACTCGGTGATAACTCTTTTACGAGCTTTTGAAAAGTTTCGATAACTTTTAACTATCCCCTCCCCATTGGAACAGAACTTTTAATGACTCTACCGCCTGCGGCCGCTTCGCGACGCTGGACGACGCGACCAGTGGCCGAGGGGGTTGCTTGACCGATAATCGCCCCGATATAGCTAACACCTGCTCTGCTTTTATCAGCAGGAGGGTGGTGCGTTGTCGATGACGGAGATGAAGAAATCATTGAGCTTCGATCAAGTGGGAGCGGCCCGTGGAGGGAACACCTAGCACAGGCCTCATCCTCATCTTCATCCTCCGCAGCAGTCGCAGCCACAGCAGCAACAACAACAACAACCGCCACCGTGCAAAGCCACGCCCACGCACACACGTCACACACACTGCCACTCACATTCACACAGCCACAGTTACAGTCATACGCACAAGCACCAACCACCCCCACCGAGGCAGAGACGGGGCTCCTCAAGCATCGTCTTGGGTCAAGGTAAGTGGATCACCGATTCTATTCTCCGATATCGTAGATCGATAGATTTAACCGTTTTCATTCTAAAATCATTTAAAAATTACCAAAGAAATATTTTCTTGTACTTTTCGTGCGTATATTACACAACATATAAATGATCCACAAGAAAATTTTACACGTTTTAAAACCGTCTAATGGTGTTTTCCATTCGTTTGATATTTCCAAAATTTTAATACTCAGTTACCTGAACACACGTGAGAAACAGTATTTTCTTTCGATGTCCAGGAGGTGACCACCCTGAGAGTATTCTCTGGAGATTCGACTGCGACCTGGCGGGTGAGCCAGACGTGGTGATATCGCCGCCACCGCCGCCGCCCCCGCCCTCGGCGGCCGTATCGAGGACCACGACCCTTTGACCAATACTGGAGGAGGTGCCGACAGGTGTGCCCGTCCAGAAGGAGCTGCCCACACAAGCCTCCGTGGTCGTCAACATGGTCGATCAGAAGGAGACCTGCTTATAGCATATGTAGTCGCCGGGGCGTGAGGTTCGACCGCAACGCGGCCAGGCAGACGCCGTCGGCGACACGGGATCGCCGCCGATCGAACGGTCGTCCACGTGACGACGTCGATCGAGCATGATCCATTTAGCACGAAGTACAGCCGTGGACGAGGAGCTGGCCGGTGTGCCAACAACCAGGTCCACTTGGACTCTAGGATCCCGATGAATCGAGACGATGACCGTGTTTACCATCGAGAGGAACGATCATCGACGAAGATCGCGAAAGGGTAGGGGTGGATGGGAGTAGGGGTTGATAGGGGGGTATGGAAGAGCATCAAAGACTTTGGAACGAAGATGGCAACGGAAAGCTGATTACACCCGAATCGATCGTGGGACGTGCTGTTCCTCCGAACGCCTACCGACGCCCCTCGAATGACGAAGCAGGATCAATTGTAACCATGCAGGGGGTAGGGGGTGGTAGCGATCGCGCGACAAAAACGATCGAGCACCACCGTCGACGCCAAATGCCGAACGAAGCGTGTTCCACGTCCAACCGACCAGAGGGATCCCGTTTTCTGTATTTCCCGAGGCGAGAAGTTTCGAAGTCACGTGGAATCGAATCCGGAACGTTCAATTAAATTGTCCCCTCCATTGTTCAGACGCGATGAACCGCGCCCTTGCGCGTCGCCAGACATACACGCGGCTCCGAAAATTCAAGCTAAACATATCGTTACGAATAACGGAACCGATAACAGGGCTGAACGTTCTTTCGGGAAACGGGCATCGAAGACAATTACTCCACCGATCTCGTGAAACGAATGTCGATTCCGTGAAGGAGAATATCGATGACTCTGTTTCCGTTGAAATCAGACATCAACGTAGGGGCTGAACGGTTACTCGAGAGGGAATCGAAACTCTATGGTAGGTACGACGAACATCCGACGATATTAGAGGAGCATGTGATTAAACTCGGACCAAACTCATAGTGATCACTGCCAAAGACAGCCTAGCCTAATATAGTAAAACGGTCTATCGACTTCCGGTAGAGGAACTTAACGTGCAGCGAAATTTACGGCCTAAGATGATCCTCGTATTCATCCTTTGAATGGTCGATTCCGGATCGAGAATATGCCCGACGAATGTGTCGGAGAGAAAAAGAATTCAACTTTGACCGGAACACGTTCAGTGAGAGTGTCACTCGGAGAATATGTAGAAACCAAACGGTGTCGGTGTTCGTTTCCAAGTAAAAGGGAACAAAGTACGGACAACGTGTGTTCTCTGCGAGTCGAGAATCAGTCACGAGTGTAGAAACCAAACGGTGTCGATGTTCGTTCCAAGTAAAAGGGAACAAAGTACGGACAACGTGTGTTCTCTGCGAGTCGAGAATCAGTCACGTTCAGGGGCATCAATTGTTGTCTGGCGATTGCCGAAGGCTAACGATCGAAAGAAACGCCGCAGTTTCATTAGGCGGACAATTCCACTGGAAGGTGTGCCTCGTGTATGCAACTTGGATGATTGTGTGACGCTTGAAGAGGAGATCAACCAAAGGAAGTATTTATCGTCTCGTACGTGCAAGGGTTCAAAGCGGGCGTCCTCCATCGTCCCTGCAAGTGTGACGCATGAATTCCCAGGGAGGAAGTAATGCCGACAGTCTCGTCGTTAGGGAAATTTTACGAGGCTCCAACAGTACTTCGCGCGACGTAACCTCACTTAGCTCTCGATTCGAATAAAGTACAAAATTTCGAAGCACCTTACCTGAGAATCTTGGAGGGCCCATTGCGCCCTGATCTTCACTGCCGTGTCGTTTATCGCGGGGAGACGCGTCGGAGGAGGCGGACCACTGGTTTTTCAGGGATTTTCCACCTCGGAAAGAAGCACCGAGGAGCAAAGACTGCAGTAGGAAATTGCAACGGGAGGTCCCAGAGAAGATGAACCGTACGAGGAAAAACACGCTCATTTCTACGAGACAGATCGGTACAGTCTAACTCGATTCTCGATGGCGTTCTGTATTATTGTATAGTCACGGTTGTACACGACTGTTCAACGTTCGGTGATACGAAATCGGACGCAGAGTTGACTTAACGCGAAATCGTGCACGTGTGCGTACACATACACACACAAACACTCCCACACAAGCTTACCAGGGCGGTACACACGTGCACGTGTTTAGATTATACAACTTTAAATGCCACATAGTTAAGTGCGTAGCCGCGTAAGAAACCCATGTCATATTTTGACACGAACCGACGGTTTATTATTGAATATTTAACGATAACGTTGTACAGCGAGTGTTTTTCACGAAATTTCGATGAGAGGGTGTCGTCGCGCACCGCGGCTTCCGGTCGAACGACCGCGTCGTATGTATATACATGTATGTTATATATGCATATACACATATACCATGTACACATATATGTAAGGGAGCGCTGATTGTTGAAAGAGAATGATGACAGTTGTCGTTCGACGGATTTATATAGAAGGCGTTACTAGCGAAATCTCGAGAACATAACTGTGAATGCGTGATGAGTGTGACATAAAGAGAGAGAATGAAAGAGAGAATCGTGCCAAAAAAAAAAAAAAAAAGAAACGAATAATCTGTGCTACCGTCGGAACTGACAAGCAGTCAGGACGTTTTTGATGTTTGACGCGTGAATACAACACAGCGGCCGCGCCTCGTCTGATAGCGACATTGGAAAACGAACGAACCAATGCGAGATTCCTCGTCAATGCGAAAGAACTTCTGTACGGTTTTCCTGCAGTAACGATCCACGGAACGGTAGGCATAATCAACAAATGACGAACGAGATCCTTCGAGAATTTCGAAACGAGATACCGAGCTTCGAATTGATACAGTCGTAATGTTTCTCATTCTGGATATTGTGATCGATCGAACAAGTTATTAATTCGAGTGTCCATGGAATAATTTATTTCATGAGTCCGGGATGAAGATCTCGTTTCTTCGCGGGACTGTCGGGAAAAGACATTAGGAAGAATCGACTGAGAGAATCGTGGGATTATTGAGATCTTACGGAATTGCCGCGGGAGAGTCCAATAATTCCATGACAAATGTAAAAAGTCTCCTGTATCAAAATGGTACCGTGTCTCACGTTTCGTTTCCGCCGTAGACGTGATCGAGGATTTTATCTTGTTCGATGTGGAAACGATGAGATGATACATCGACGAAAAAGTACGATGCAATTTTGTGAATGGCTCGAACACGTCGACAGTTGTATGATTTTTCTAGGCATAAACAGCACGTTTATCTGCATCGAGAAAGAAAAACCGTTTGAACGCGAGGTGTTGGTCGAGTGCGTTCAAAATTTCATGACTACTTGTCGCGTGATCAGTGGTGTGTCACTATTCAATAAATAAATTTTATTTACTTAATCGATCTAGACATTTCTACACTTGGCGTAGCAGTCGGAAACACGTTGACCACCTTTTTTTTTCGTTCTTGTGCGATCGGAGGGCCGCGAACTCGAAGCCTGGAGGGTCCGTATAGAGGAATAGTCTACGAATCGATAGCATCCCCCGTTTTCTGGGTTCTCGGGCCCTCCGATCGAGTGATTGTGATACGCAGTGAATCGTCAACAATTGAACATATCTCTCCGAAATAACAGAAAATTAAATGTTGTTATACGCATGTGTTATTCAATACCTTTCAGACATTCTTCTCTATTTTTTCCGTGAGCGATTCACATCCACGCGGACATACCAGACTAGAACGATCCCTTGTTCATCCCATTCGAACAGAGAAAAATGATTTCGACGCATTAAACGCAAAGAGATCTTTACTCTCGTTTCTCTGCAACGGTGTTTCCTTTCGTAGCCATTCGACGGAAACAATGAATAATACCAGCGATACACGAATGATTCCATCGCCATTTAGGAATCGATCGGGACCACGGACGCTATCGGCGACGTCACAGACGCCGTCGCCATTGCGGACAAGATGACAAGTAAACGCGACGCTTCATCAATCACATCGGCCATTCCACGATATACATTCCCGGGGCAACGATCTTTCCTTCGCCTTCGGCGGCACGATTCCGCTTGCCTTGGCCATTACATCATTTATGCAAATCTCCTTCCCTGTGAGACCTATCACAGCTGGGCCAACGTCGGACTTCTTTCAAACGGTAATTCAATTCCAATTCGAAACCATTTTAGCACGATCAATCGCGACTATTGGAAAGCTTTCACTGGAGATACCCGTTTAGATATTCATAGGGAAACGTCCGGTTTTGGAAATCACGCGCTTTTCATTTTGGAATAGCTAACAGTAAAGGAATCGAACGAAAGTCGGTACCTCCATGGTTAATTGCATTGACAGAGAGTTCAGCTCGTTGGAGGTAAAAAATTGTGAATTTTTTCATTAATCAGTTACGAGTACGATTTTCGAAATTATCTCGCGAATTTCCATTAAGGTAGCCTGAAATGGCCATCGATCCAGCCGAAAGAAGAACGAAAATTATTCTAGCCAATGCACGATCCGTCGATTACGCCAGTATCTACATATATTCTGA